CTTGACTGCTAACCAGAAGGCTGATGATTCAAACCCACCAGCCACCCCTCGGAAGGAAGGTTGGGCAATCTACTTCCATAGTGATACCGCCTCAGAAACCCAAGGAGGGGTCACTGTAAGTAGGATCCGGCCTGATGGCGGTGAGTTTGGTTTTTTTGGTATGCAGGGGGGCGTGTGCCCATGACCATGTATAGGGTTGGTAGACAATGTTACTACAGCCTTCTCTCCCACTTGTTTCTCTGAATGAAACTGAGATTATGACTGCACACGCAAAAATGACTGAACGGAAAAGGTTACTACAGCATATGTGTGTGTTCTGTAAGAATTCCCAGGTATATAGTAGAGCTGACAAGGGATGAGGTTGTGTCAGAGGGAGAGAGTAGTTGGACTTGTAGGCTTGGGACCATAGTCTCAGGGGACATCAAGCTCAATTGGCATAACATACTACACAAAAACATTGTTCCACATCCTGCTTTGGTGAGTAGTGACTGGGATCTTAAAAGCTTGCAAGCAGCCATCTAGATGCAGTGATGGGTCTCTCTTCATCCAGAGCAAAGAAGAATGAAGAAAACCAAAGATTCATGGAAACAATTAGTCCTAGCGACTGGTACACCATGTGATCCTCAGCCTATATGACTATGAGACCAGAAGAACTAGATGGTTCCTGGCTACTGCTGTCAACCACTCAGAGGGGGATGTATGTAGGAGATCCTGGATAGAGTGGGAAAATAGTGTGGAACAAAACTCAAAATCATTAAAAAAACAAATAAATAAATAGATGATTTTTGACAGAGCCTGGTGGGACCACTGAGACTATGGCCCTTAGCCACCCTTCAGGTCTGGAATTGAACCCACGCCTGTGGTTTCCAGCCAAACAAAAGACAGGCATATGAGCTGAACATTTACAGTAGGTAGATACACTACTTGGAGAGATCAATCATGGGAGAAAGAGGGGCTATGTTTGCACAGGGAGACAGCTCAGGGGGCAGGAGGCCATGGAGGGAAGGACACAGGGAAGAGATAACTGTGGGGAGGAAGTGGGAGGAAACTGTTGCATTGTGGGAAATTGCAGTCAATGTCATGAGACAAAGTGTATGTGAGCTGCTGTATGGAAAGTGAATCTGCTCTGTAAACTTTCAGCCAAATGACAATAAAATTTAGAAGGAAGGAGGGCACCAGGAGGGCCACAGCTTCCAGTGGAAGGAAGGGGCTGAACTGGGACACCCTGCTTCCCCTTCCCCAAGACCCAGCCCCGCCAGGCCTCAAGTTCAACCCAAACAGGAAACAGGTGGGGCAGGGTTAGAACACAGGTGGCGGGAAGACAGGGGAACAAGAAAAGACCAGAGAACAAAGGGAGAAAAAGGGAGGGTGAGGCAGAAAGCGGGGCCGGGGCCAGGAGGGGACCCCAGCAGGGACTGCAGAACCTACGCCACACCTGCTCCGGCTCCTGGGGGCCTGTGTCCCCGCCCCCCACAGGGAGTCCATTAGAGGCCTGGAGCCCCGGGGATGCTCACACCCACCCTGCAGCCCCCCAGGACCCACCTGGATCATGAGCTCCGAGAAGGTGTAGACACCCACGGCACAGCCCAGCACAGTCGCCAGGCACAGGAACCACACGAGGAGCAGCACGGCCGCCCGCCGCAGCCGCCCGCACACACTGCGGGGCCTCTGCCGCAACTGCCATTCAGCCAGCAGCTCCTTGGGAGGGTGGGCACCGTCACTGCACAGCAGTCACCCGGAAGGGGCACACGGATGGGGCACACGGATGAGGGCACACACGGGGCCACATGCATGGACACGCAGATAGAGCACACATACAGGGCACATGGATGAGGGCACACATGGGGGGCCACATGGAGAGGCACACAGATGGGGCACATGGATGAGGGCACATGCATGGGCACATGGATGAGGGCACGTGGGTGGATACACACAGGGCACACACATGAGGGTACGTGCAGGGGCACATGCAAGAGGCACACGGACAGGGCACACGCACAGCGACACTGGATGGGGCGTGGGGAGGAAGGGGGTGTCAGCGTCCCGGCAGCCCCCACCATCCCACCTCCCCAGGAACAGCCTCCCACCCCAGCCACATCGCCTAGTCAGTCCCAGGCCCTGTCCTTCCTCTCTCTGCTGCCTTGGGGGGGCCTTCCTGAGCCTGTCCCTTCCCTCCCTCTGGGCAGCCACTCTACCACCAGGACCCCTGAGGCAGGGACAGTATCTGCTCCCTGGGAGCTCCTTCCAAGGGCAACTTAGCCATTCCCGCAGCACAAAACCCCACAGAGAGGCAGAGGACGACTTACAAGGGCCAGCTCTGCTTCTTCCCAGCCCTAGAACCCTGCGGAAGCCACTCAGTTTCCTCCCTTGTAATAGGAGAAGATAATAGCTCCTAGGGGCTCCCCTAGGCCCCTGAGACTCAGGCCGTAGAACCTCCCTGCTGGGGCTGCAGCCTGGGACAAATGGATGGGCAGACACAGGCGTGCTGGGCTCCCGGGGGAACGCCCCAGGCCTCCTGTGTGTCCGTGTGAGGCTGCGGTGGCTCCTAGCAGCCCAGAGGCAGCCCCATCCTGGGGGCCTGGGCCCACGCTGAGTGGTGGTGGCGCATCTCCTCCAGGGAGCACCCACCTGTCGCCTTCAGGGGGGCGGGGACGCACATCCCAGCACCCAGTCTGGCTCATTGACTCCCATGTTCTACACACCCGGTCCAAGCAAACCCGGGTCGGGCTAGGAGGCCATGTTCAGGAGAAGCAGACGGCCTGGCCCCCCAGCTGCTCACCTTCAGCTGAGTCCGGAGGTTGTCCTGCTGGAGACGGGAGGCCCACTTCTGGGTCACCTTGTAGTCCCAGGAGCAGAAGACGGTGATGGCATGGATGCCCAAGGTGCTCCCCACCCTGTAACTCTCCCCAAAGGAACGGGACATGCTGGAAGAGAAGCCAGGCAGAGAGGTGAGCACGGGGCCGCGGCAGCGGGAGAAGACTGACGAGGCAGTCCCCACTGCCCAGCCCCACCGCCCGCTCCAGGGAGCCCTCCCAGCACTAGATCGGCCTCCAGCAGCCCCCACCCCCTCCAGCCCAGGGCACTTGCCCTCTGGCGGGGCTCTGTCTGGCACAGGACTCACCAGCCACACATGGCCAGGCTAGAATGTAGGGCTCCGTCACCACTAGCCCAGACAGTGGGTACAGAGAGAGGTGCCGAGTTCACCGCAGGGCCTACCCACCCACGGGGCCTACGCACCCATGAGGCCCACATGCCCACGGGACCCGCATGCCCACAGGGCCTGTGCGCTGTCTCTGTCACTGTCCAAAATGCTCTCCCCCACTTCTTCCCTGCCCACTCTTATTAAACCTCTCCATCTAGGAGCAAGTGGCACCTGCCCTGGGAAGCCAGCCATCCTGCTGTGTTCTCATAACACCCAGGCCAGCACCTCTGGGGCTCCTGGAGGTCTGTGGCCTCTTCATTGGTCTGTCTTCTCCCCTAGACTGCTCCTTGAGGGCAGGCACCATGATTATGTTCGTTTCTGCCCCAAGCTAAGCACAGAGAATGTTTGTGGGGTGGGTGGGTGGATGGATGGGCAGATGACTGGATGGACAAATAAATGGAAGGATAGGGATTGGGATGGATGGATGTGGATGGATGAATGGATCCATCAATGGATGTAGATGGCTGAGTGATAGACAGATGGCGCCTAGTTAAGGTTATGTGTCAGCTGGTTGGGTGACTGGGCAGCTGGTTACAGTTATTCCCCATGATGGGACTGGTAATAAACTCCATGGTGGAATCTGCTGGGAGCAGCTGAGTAGCTGCTTTAGGGGTACGGTCTGCTTCCCGTATATAAGGAGGAGATTTGGGAATGGTCTGCAGCTTTTTGGCACACTGGAACCCTGCACGTCATCTTCATTCAGCAGTCTGCCATGTTGTCTGCCAATCTTAGGACTAGCTCTGGACTTGAATGTGGCCTGCCATGTTGCTTAATAATATTGGGACTGTGCCATTTTATTTGTTGACCTTGGGTTTGTCAGCCTCAGCAGCCAGCAGCTGCCTGAGTGAAGAGACGCCTCCAGCCTCAGTGGGCCGGGAGCAGGAGGCAGAGCTGAAGCCCAAGGTGAAGGGGCTTTCACCCAGCCCCTAGAGGTAGCACTTTGAACTAGGACTTCTAGCCTCCAGAACTGTAAGAGAATAAATGTTTGTTCAAACCAGCCATTTGTGGCATTTCTAAGTAACCAAAACAGGTGGGTAGGTGGATGAATAGATGAACAGACGGATGGATGAACAAACGGATCAATGAGTGACTCAGTCAATGGATGAGCGGATGGATGTAGGTGGATGGATGGATGAGTGGAGATGGAATTCAGATCCGGGTCACATGGAGGAGGGCTGTCACCTGTAAACCAGGGTGATGCCGGTGGTAAAGAAGATCGCACCCATGGTGAAGAGGTAGGCCAGGGGCATGTTGTAGGGCAGGTCGCCTGCCCCCGGGGTGCACTGAGCTCCGTCTGGTGGATGGGTGCATGGCTGATTCAAGGTGAAGTTACTGTAGTAGCCGTAGTACATGACGGTATGGGTGAAATAGCCCTGCAGAGAGGGGGCCTGGCAGGTCAGGGACCCCCCCATCCCACCCTACCTCACCCATGACACAGCCCACCCTGCTGTGAGAGGCAGGGGAACAGGACGATGAGAAAGGCGGAGCAGGAAAGGGCCAAGAAAGGGCAGTGGGGGGAAGATGGAGGTGGACGAAGGGCCCCCAGAGGGACAGGAGGTGGCGAGGGGCAGGAAGCTGGCTGCTGCGCTGGGTGGTGCCCGCCTGAGGTCACAGCACAGGAGGGGCAAGGTGGGCACACTCACCGCGCCCGTGAGGAGCTCCAGCCCCGTGAAGGTGGGGGCGGGGCCCCGTGGGTCAGGAGGGAAGGCGGCCTGCACGCCCACGATGAAGGCCAGCAAGGGCAGCAGCAGGAGGGCGTTGGAGACCAGCAGGGTCTTGAGGAAGAGGAAGTAGGACAGCACGCTGGAGCCAAACTGTCCCCCGATCCGCTTCAGGGTGTAGCGCCACGGCGTCAGGGCACTCAGGCCTGACAGCAGCCCAAGCCCCAAGTTGTGAAAGGCCTGTGGGGACAGCAGTGGCAGGCAGGTCCTGGGGCACGGTCCCACAGAGCCCACCAGAAGAGTCCCAGGCCATGAGACCCCAGGCAGCAGGAAGTCCCCAAGCTGTGAGGCCCCCAGTGGAGAGACCTCAGGCAGGAAGACCCCAGTGGGGAGACACCAGGCTGTGAGACCCCTGGTGGCGAGACACCAGAGGGGGACCTCATGGAGTGGGGCCAGGAATGAATGAGTGATTCACAGAGAGTGTGTCCTGTGACTCGGAAGGAGCGGGTGACAGGACCACAGCCCCACCACTGCCCTCACCCCACCCAGAGAGAAGCCGATTAGCCCAAAACCCCGAGGTTCCTACCAGAACACAGCCATACTTCAGCCGGCTGCAGCAGGACCAGACCCCACGCTGGGCCTGCCAGCCCCTCTGTTTCCCACTCGGGGTCCGGCTCTCTTGTCTGGGGGCAGAGACAGCAGTCAGCACCTGGGCTGAAGGGGAGCCAACCCTTCCCCTGAAACACTCACCGAAGGCTCAAGCCCATCCACCCCAAACTCTGCCCCGCTGCCATGTGCTGCACGCACATGCACACACACACATGCTCACATATACACACATGCACTGATACACATACATACACACATGCACACATACACACGAGTACGCAGATACATGCACGCACGTACATGCCGAACTACACATGCATGCACGTACACACATGCACAGATGTGCACGTACACACATGCACAGATGTGCATGTACACACATGCACAGATGTGCATGTACACACATGCACAGATGTGCATGTACATATGTATGCACAGGTACACATGCATGCACACATGCAGAGATACACATGCTCTCACACACCCACACACACATGCACTCGCGTGACAGAGGACACTGACCGCAGGCAGCGCTTCTCAGCCAGGCTCAGGGGCATCCCTCGGAGCAACTGGTCCTGCTGGGCCCCCGTCAGGCCCTGGAGCTCCGTGACCAGAAGGGCGCGCTTCTCTGCCACAGTGAGGAGAGTATCGGGTCAGTCCCCAGCAGGGCCCCTCCTCTGGCCCTGGGAGGCCTGCCCGCCCACCCTGGCCCT